CCTTCCTCGCTCCCTCCCTCCCTCTTCTCTCTACATCTCTCTCTAGCTCTGTGTGTGTCTCTCTGTCTCTGTGTTTCTCTGTCTCTGTCTGTCTGTCTGTCTGTCTGTCTGTCTGTCTGTCTCCCCCCACCCCACCCCCGGCTGTCTCTCCATTCTTGGTTTGTTTATAACTTTGAGACCAGGTCCTGTTGAGTCTCTATACTGCCCAGGCAGGGCTCACAATCCTCCTGCCTCAGCCTCCCAGAGTGCGCAGATTATAGGTATGCAGCACTGTGCCTGGCTTCTCTTCCCTTGAGACCCCATTTCCAATGTGCTCTGAGATGACAGGGATGTTCTCTAGGCCACACAGAGAACCTCACTCTCATATTTCCTTCTTCTGAGTGAATCCCTGTGTACGCACAATTTTACCAGCCTACCACTCATGAATAAATATTGTTGAGGCCTGAGGCTTTCTATAAAAGATTAAAATACACTAAGGTCTGTGGCATGTTGGATCACACCTTAAAAAGCATTAACAAAGCATAGTAAATGTTCACCTTTCAAAGCAGCAAGAAAGAAAAAGTGTTCTTTCTTTAGTTAAAGAGATTTAGGTTCTCAGATTTCATTAGAGCTAAATGCTATATAAACGGACCCTTTAGGCTAGGGGTGATGCTCAGGGTAAACCATTAATGAATATACTGGGAGGCAGGCTGCAGGAAGGTTTAGGTTTGGGATTCAAGTAATAGACGGTAAGATTTGGACTTTCTCCATCTCTTGGTTGTTAGTATCATGGCAGCCCACGAGCCCCAGGCATGCACAGAAGCCCAGTGAAGGCGTGGAACATTTCCCATGAGCACAACTGCCAGGCTTACCTCTGATTGGACCCAGATCCCTTCCCTGAGTCAATCAGTCTGTCCAGGGGGATGACCTGCCTTGCTTGGCCAGGCCCAAGTCATGTGGCCAACAGGCCAGGGAGGAGGCAGCTGTGGCCTACACTCTGGAGGTCTTAAATGCAGGTGGGGTCTTCATCAGAGGAAAGTCGCAGATGGCCACTGCGGGACCTCCAGGCATGGCACCTCTTGGGTGAGGGGCAGTGGGGAGCCTTGGTACCCACCCCACCTCCAGCTCCTGTGGCCCTATGGTTCAAAAAAGTGATAAAATCAGCTACCCAAAGGCTTGGCAATGCCAAAGCATGAAGAGGGCTCTTACATGTTCTTGGGACCTGCATTGCCCATCTGCCTACACGTCTTTGGGCCAGTTTGGGCTGAGCTATCTCTAACGTCACCTGACTCGTTTCTTCTAAGTCACTTAGGGTAATGATTGAGAATAGTAGTGAGGGCTCCAAGGGCTCTTTGTGTCCCTCACCATGTGACTTTGGGCATATTTATGACATTTAGTGTTTGGCTCCTGGTTAGTACTCTATAGAGGTTAACTATAGTACTAAGGTGATTCCAGTCTCTGTCTCAAGTAATTTCCAAGCCGTTGTGCTCATTTAGGCCAAAAAATTGCCTCCCTTCAAGAAAGACTAAGATCTCCCTCCTACTCCCTGCTTCCCCTGGATGGAACCTGGGTCTCGCATTGTAGGCAAGTGCTGTACCACTTGGCTATGTCCCAGCCCAGTCATAGAAAGAAAGAAAGAAAGAAAGAAAGAAAGAAAGAAAGAAAGAAAGAAAGAAAGAAGAAAGAAAGAAAGAAGCAACATTAGGTGTTTGATTGTTTGTTTGTTTAACACTGGGCTTTGTACCCAGGGCCTTTGCACTAAGTTATATCCCCAGTTCTCTTGTTCTTTAATTTTGGGACAGGGTCTCACTAAGTCACTATGTTTCCCAGGTTGGGTTTGAATTTGTATTCCTGCTGCCTCAGCCTCTCAGAGTGCTGGGATTACAAGTGTGCCATCATGCCTGGCTAGGATTAGTACTTTCAGTGAGAAGAATGATGGTGAAGATGTCATCTTATAAATGAGAAGATTCTGTTTTGATCTTTGAAATAGAGTTCCTCCTTCTCTTTTTAAAATAGTGTTTTACTGGACATGGTGATACACACCTGTAATTCCAGTGTTGGGGAGGCTGAAAACAGGGGGATCATTACAAG